CCGATTACCTTCAGATGGAATGGACGGGAATGTTTTTAAAATAGGGGTGAGACAAATGATAACTGAATGGGGGAAATTGTACGTCCCAATTCTGACACGGGAATCTCAGAAGAGACCTTTCCGCAGACCGAGTTGGGAGCCTGGCACATTGCCAGGACAGAGGGACCCAGGGTCAAAGTAGGTGGTCAGCCGCCATCTCGGAGAGGAGCACTTCCTGACTCAGCCCTCGCAAACGAGGTTTGGTTGTGTGCAGGGTGAATGCCACCCTGGTTTTCTGAGGAGGAGTTTCCTTTCTAGCAGCGCATCAGCCCATCCTCTTTCTCTGGTGCTCTGGTGTTTTAGAGATTTGGGCCCATTGTTGGCCAAACTGGGAAGAATTGGTTTGAAACCTTGGATCAAAAACACTCATTCTCACACTTAACCATTCTGTCCATCTTACCGTGGCTCCCTACCCTGTTGCGTTGTTGTTAAGAGTTGATTACAGTGTGGTGAGAGTAGGATCGCCCCATGGCGTTTTCTGCGCAGTCATCTGCATGGGAACAGCTCATCAGATCTTTCTCCCACAGAGCCACTGGACGCGTTTGAACACCAGCCTCGTGCTGGCGGCTGAACACTCAACTGATGTCCCGCCAGGCCCCTTACTGGGCTGCAGGCACATACAGGAAGCGATGAGGTTTTTGAGTTACTTCTAGCCCCCGTGTGTGGGGATAGAAACGACTGCTGGCACACAGTCAGAATACAAGTAGGCTTTATGGACTGTAAAATCTGAGAGTCAGGAGTTAGAGCGATTGAGTCACGGAGGCTTCCAGTCTTAGGGAGCGCAGGCTCTGGCCCCAGCCACAAGCGAGGATCATTAAAGAGTAGATGGCATATGCTTCAGCCTGGACTTATTTCAGATCTCTCTTCGTTTGTCTGTGATGTCTCTGGTCTCCGCTAATGCTGGCGTTTGGTTCTAGGTGCCGTTGTTGAGTGCTGGTGACATCATCATCGATGGGGGAAATTCTGAGTACAGGGACACCACAGTAAGTGTTCTAATTCTTTCAGGCTCCAAGGTCATGCTGGAAAAAGCATTGGCATTGCATTCCGTACTGCCCTCCTGCGTTGCTCATTCTTTGGCGGTCGGTACATTGTAACGGTTCTCTGGTTTGCTGCTAAGGTAGAGTTGGTGAGCAAGGTCCTCATCAGCCCCGCATGCAACTCAAGTGAATGGCTGCTGCTTGGATGCAGCCGCCTGGGAGTGGGTGCTTCTCTGGTTCCCCACCCACTGCTCTGTCCGCACTCCATGGGTGCAGGAGGGCGTGAGGATGCGCCTGTGTGCCC